AATTATTTGATCGATTTTGATCATTAGTTCACCACGGAAGGCAAAGACTGGTCACATATGTTTTAAGAAAAAAGCTTCGTAATTCTAACAATCGAGTATAGCTATGTGTAAAGTCCAATTGACGGAATGGGGGTCAGGACGGTCTCAAATAGCCTAAACTTGGCTTACATATATGGCTGTATAGTATGTGAACCGGTCCATAACAGCAGAAAAATGCAAAGATCATGAGTTCACGTTAGCATATTGAACTGAAGTTAAATGTATACTACGAAAGGAATGTTAAGAAAGGTTTTAGCTGATATCTTAATCGAGTTCCGTGACTTTTAATGACAAAGATTGAGCTTAAAGCATTACAAGTACAAAGTTAAAACGTTACAAATAACATTGTCCCCATTCCAGCGATAGGTTTATGTGTGCGGGCGAGTGTCCAGGAATAAAACGGGCTAGCTTCCCCAATTTTAATTCTTTAATCGGAATCAGGAGTTAAATTTCTGGACAGACTTTGATGCAGACAGCTTAAACAAATTATAAAATACTGGGTATAGTTAAATACTACTCAGTATTCTTGTTGGAAAGGAGGAGGAAGCTGTGGAAGAGATTAATTCGTTCGTTGAATTTTTAAACACCGTCTTTGTGTTATCAAATCATTTTAATCGCATTTATAAATGTGATATATATAAATATTAATATGTACATTATCGGACGTTATTTGAACGGACATTACGTGAACGGACATAATTTTGAACGGACATTAAAATGAACACTCTAAGGCATTCGTTCAATTTATTTAATTTAACTACTACCTTGTCGGACTTTATTTGAATGGCCATTGAAATGAACGCTATAACGGCCTCCAGCGTCTAATTAATGTCTATTCAAACAAAGTTCGATAAGGTGCCTTTATAATTATAATACACCATTTCTTCTGACAATTGCATATTCTATGATTATAGACTTCACTTATCCTTGTCCCATAAAATCAAAAAGTTGTAAAAACATTCTAATGCAAAATCTGAACTTTCAACTTGTCCAATTAGTTCGGACTGTAAAGCTAGAGGGTTTGCTTCTAATGATCCCTAACACTGCCGTAAAGCTACTCTTTGTATCCGTTTGTGAGCTTTTTAACTTCGATACTTCTATCATGGCTGACTGTTTCAAAAATCAAAATTTGATATGTGCTCAGTAATCATGAAATTTTGAGAGTTCAAAAATTTTGGTACAGTGTGCCAAAAATATGTTTAGGTATTTTTGTAACGCATTGTAAATGTAAACTTAATGTAACCAAATTATAACTCCAACATAATATTATAAAAGTAAAAATTTACTTACCGCTATTATATTTAAGTAAAGTGAGTGCTGAGTGATTCCCATTAAGGATAACTTAAGTTTTAAAAACTTAAAAACTGTATGAAGAACCGCTGGGCACCATATTTTGTAAATTATTTGATTGATATTGGGGAAGTGAGTGCACATTCTTTGGGGCTTATTTCTCAGTCGTTGATTGCCCTATTGAAATAATTCTATAATTCTTTCTGGTCATGGTATGACATACAATAATCACTTATTCGAGGAATACATCAAATCAAATAATATCGATGTTAATTTTTAAAAGTTTTCTGTTTTCCGCAGATTCTTGGCGTTAGCAACTAGCTGATCAATAACAACGATTGACCTTGGTACTTTCACTTTGACTGGCCGGTTGGTACTGTTTGTACTAAGACTTCCTAATTCATGCCAATTCTGCATACTTCAACGATCAGTTTCTGTCTAATGTTTTGAAAAACTTCGCGCCAACTGTGTGATAAGTTCACAATCGCTCTTTTCTGACAAATACAACGACGTTGCGACTGGAACACGTTTGACAACACGTTTCTGAGTCATGATCTGCTCCTTTGGTTAGTGGCGTGACAAAGGGACCCGCAATATAAAAGTGTACTTACTGCACACAAAGATATCTTATACCATAACTTTGTCGCATAGTAGCGGGGTTATAGTAAATATATTTCGTTTCATTTCGTTTCATTTCGTTTCATTTCGTTTCATTTCGTTTCATTTTGTTTCATTTTGTTTCATTTTGTTTCATTTCGTTTCATTTCGTTTCATTTCGTTTCATTTCGTTTCATTTCGTTCGTTTCATTTCGTTTCATTTCGTTTCATTTCGTTTCATTTCGTTTCATTTCGTTTCATTTCGTTTCATTTCGTTTCATTTCGTTTCATTTCGTTTCATTTCGTTTCATTTCGTTTCATTTCGTTTCATTTCGTTTCATTTCGTTTCATTTCGTTTCATTTCGTTTCATTTCGTTTCATTTCGTTTCATTTCGTTTCATTTCGTTTCATTTCGTTTCATTTCGTTTCATTTCGTTTCATTTCGTTTCATTTCGTTTCATTTCGTTTCATTTCGTTTCATTTCGTTTCATTTCGTTTCATTTCGTTTCATTTCGTTTCATTTCGTTTCATTTCGTTAATTAGTAGTTAGTAGTAAAATATTTTACACATTTTTTCTATTTTGCCATTTGACCTTGTTCAAATTTACAAAACTTTAACTTCATACAATAAGTAGCAATTCAATGTTCGTAAGTAAGTTGGAATAACATTTTCTCCCTGTTATGCAAGTATGCACTGCTATTGGCAGATCATTTCACCTCGATAAAGGTGTCTGAAAGTTGCCTGATCACGGTGGAAAATGGCCATGAATTTTGTACGTTACGCGGCTGATAATTCCACAACAAAACTCATTGTTCAAGCATGGAGGCTAGACCATCGTAATACGTTGTTAGAGAACAATGACACCAGGTATGTAGGTAAATGATCTCTGAGTTTATAAAAACATTTCTCTCATGGATCTTTTCTGAATAATTAAATGCCGTCTTACGAACCATGTATGCCCTCAATTCCCATTTCTCAAATATATAATCATGTAACCGTAAACGCATGTTTTATCGTAACGCATGTATATTAATATACACGTTTATAAACATGTTATATCTTACCTTATAAACGTATATCTTATCTTATAAACGTATAAACTCCTAAAGGTGAGTCTTACTTAAGCACTGCAGGTACCTCAAAAATGCTGAACGACTGAAATTGCTTATCTTCTTTCCTACCTGTCCTCTAACGGGACCGTTCACATATTATGTAATTAGCCGGATTTGTAACTTGTCAGACCCCCCTCCCCCCGCTTCATACCTCATAAATAGATGTGCCAGTTGCGACAATTTTGCACCTATCTGGAAGCCTTAATGGGGTATAATACACCAAAACAGGGGATTGTGTCGGCCAGTGATTTTTTTGGCTTTGCAGATACAAAAATTACGTTTTTTACCATAACTTTAAAAGGAAGCATTTTATGGTGTTTTGTTGTTGATAACTCATAGATAAATGTGCTAGTTGCGGTTATTTTTCACCCTTCCAAAAGTGTCTAGCACATTCCTATCGAAATTTGAGAAAAATCTGTAAACATGAAAAACGGAAAAATGTGCCTAAATATGTTATTTGGCTTTGAGGTGCAAAAAAATCAACTTTCCAGTTGAATAAACAAATGTTTGAGGGCATCAAAATGTTTCACTCCCTAGACTGATATCTCACAGACCTACCAAAAGCGAGTTATGACTTTTAAAGTTCGGGCGTATGGGCGCCTGGAAAAAAATTGCTTCAGAAAGTTTTCCCCATCAGTTTCACTTTCAGTTTTACCATTTTTTTGTTAACTAAGTTAATTAATTTCCTTTTTTCTTGCTGATGCGGTTGCCTGACATCTAAATAGATGTGAAAAGACCCTTCCACGCATCTTCCGCGCCTCTTCCACGCATCTTCCACACACCTTCCACACCTCTTCCACGCCTCTTCCACGCCTTTTTCACGCCTCTTCCACGGCTTAGTAAAAAAGTCGTCTTTGCGTCCGTAACAAATGTTATACAAATAACATTAAACATGGGTTGCAGCTTAATTTTTATCTTTTAAAAATAACATATCGGCTAGTACAAACACTCCTTTAAAAATATATTTAAAGTTAACGTAAGAATGTATAGTAGGCTAAATCAATGTTCTAAACCAGTGGCGCCCGCCGACACCCCCCCCCCCCCCCTGAAATCTTTGGTGACCCATGAACAAATATTTTCTTATACCTAAAAAATAGGACATGTCTTTTTGGCGCATCCTAGAGCTTTAAGTATCCCCAAATATTTTTTATTCGCGTCGAACAAACGTAAAGCTGGCCGGGATATAAAACATTTTTCTGCTCAATCAAATTTTTCGTAAAAAATACCTACAAAGCGCCCCTCTCTGATGGCGCCCCTTCCCCCGCATAGCATTATAAGGTTCTGTGGAGCCCATTTTTATCTCACTGATCTTAGTCTAACAAACAGTGTTACATTTTAATGTATGATTTAGATAAGGATTTATCTAACAAAATACGTTCTATAACGTATAATGTCATAATGAAACTTATTTGGTTTCTCTACGATGCATAATGTCTGGCAGTGTCACGGTACTTTTATCGGCAATATAGTCCCCCAGTTGCACAGATAGCAACACTTCATTTCGTTGGTCTTTTAAGCTTGTAGAATCCCTTTAAATAATATATTTGTAATCACACTGTGGTTCTCTAGATTTTGTCGCACAAATCTTATATTAGTAGAAACCCTTATTACTGGGGGACTATATCAATATGCTTGTATATGCATCTTTAACATATAATACTTAAATTCTGTTCGCACCTATAATTTTATCTGTCCAATATTTGATAATTTAGTCAACTGAATTATTCCGCGTTAAATTAGATCCGTGCCTCAAAACACCGTTAAAAAGAGGTTCGACGACTTTCCGAGTGATTCCCGGTGATTTGTGGAGGGTAAAATGGGTTTATCAAAGTCTGGAGGTTGTCGGGAAATCGTTAATACTGAGTAACGACCCGGGCTTGGTAATTGTTTAACACGATCACAGTGTAACGTGACACTGATTATAATGTGATATGGGGGTGTTAACGAGCTTCACCTACAACAGAGATGGTATTCAGTCTTTTGTTCAGCCAGCAGGTTAGTTAGAGGGATAATTCGTGTTCGGTATTGTATCCCGTCTTCTTCTTTAATCTTTTTAACTCCGATTTTTTCGAGTTCGTTTTTCTGAGTTTCAGCAACTTTCCTGGGACTCCCATGAAGCGGGAACTTTATGCTGTAACATTTTGTTGAGTAATTTTAGAGATTTTAATGCAAACTTAGCAAAGAAAACATGACTAACTATATTAGCGTCTATTTTACTTTTACTTACCGTCCTTTATACTTAGCGTCCTGCGTCCCTACTTATAAGAAAACATGTCTACAGTTTAGTTTTCTGATTAAATTTAATTGTCTGGACTTCTAAACTTCAAATCACGGACCATGTGTCACCTTAGCAACTATATACTTATATATTAAAATCATTATTGTAACGGCATATTAGAACCAGACAGAAACAAAGTGTGAAGGGCCTGAACGGAACCCCCCGGTTTCAGTTCCTTGGCAACGATATTCATATAATTTCTCTCGAAGTAAGCATACTGGCTGATTACCTATATGGTTTCTCTAGGCTCCAAAGTATTGCTGAGTAATTTCGTGAAACAAAATTCCTAGAATTACGATGGGTGTTTAATCCTATTTACGGGCCCTTCAACGCAATGTCCTACCGTTGTTCAGGTTCTCGTACCATCGCCTGAGAGGTTGAGTAAAGGTATATTGTTAGTTTACTGTTGATATCATAATCAAGTTATGATGATTGTAGAATAAGGACTCACACAGCGAAACAAACTGCTGGAATTGTTCAGATGTCGATGAGCAGTTTTACATTTGTCATTTTATGATGTATATTATAAACAAAGGTAAATATTATTTACAAAGGTAAATGTAAAGGTAATTATTAAATTAAGTGATTGATCGACCTCGTGCTTAGGTTCTGCCTCGTTAAAGAAATAATGTGAAACTAGTGCTGCCCCATTCAAGCGGCGTTCCTTAGATTTGTCAAAAGAATGGTTCGCTACCACATTCACTGCGAAATGTAAGCATATTATATAAGTACTACAATATATAAGTACAACAACACTACAGACTTGTTTATATACGAGACCTAGTTTACTCCTACAGAATTAGTGGCGCACACTTCAATGGGAACAAGAGCTGTTCAGGTCTTGTACCACCCCATTTTGGGAGTCTATTCACCGTCAGGCTCTAAGAGTAATCCTGCCTCCGGCTGGAATCCAGCCGGAGGCAGGATTAGTGGTGGTGATCTTTGTCACTTCTATTTGCGCTTAACGCCTTAAATTACGTAGTGTTTTTCTTGTTACCATGCAGGTTACGTAGTGTATTTTTTGTTACCATGGTTACGTAGTGCATTTTGTGTTACCATGGTTACGTAATGTTTTTCTTGTTACCATGGTTACGTCGTCTATCTCTTGTTCTAAGTGATAAACATAACAATGTTGGTTTCTCGAAATATAATCCGTTGGCACCCTCTTTGAAATTTACTTAATTAAAGGACCTTTCTTCATGTAAAGGTTGTAGAGTTGTAGAGTTGTATAGTTTATTAGTTGTATAGTTTATTAGTTGTATAGTTTATTAGTTGTATAGTTGCAGAGTGTATTTCTCGCGGCTTGCACCCCTCGTATTGATTGTACTCCTCGTATTCCTGTAGGTACTGTATTTATAATTATAGTGCTTCAGGATCTTATATCTTAATCTTAGAGAAGATGCATTGCAATATCATTGCAATATCATTGGAGAGTCAGTTACTAGAACGTGTTTTGTTATCGGACTCCATGTCCATCCTTTGTTGCACCAAGTAAAGAACAAGCCTGCAACTATTTTGAAAAAAAAACCAAGAGAGATCAGAAATTAAAATTATTTCATTTATTTTGTATTTATTTTGCATTAATCTTGGGCTTATTCAATTAAACAACAATCAAGTATCAACTAGAACTCTTTTCAATATTATAAATGCACATACTATTGCAGTTTACTTACAAGGTTGAAGGCATAGTTACCATAGTTACCATTACTGTCACACTTCGGCTTATCCTCACAATTCTCTGTACGTGCCACCAAATACTTGGACCTCTACCTCACAATTCTCTGTACAGTACGTGCCACCAAATACTTGGACCTCTACCGCGGACCACCCCATCGCGGGTTTAAATCTACTACTACCTTACTATACTACTAGCTTACTAGGCTACTACCTTTATACATCACATTGAAAATACCTTGTGGGATAGGGACATTTTCTGGCTTCATAAAGTTCATATACCAAGGAATGTGGATATAGATTATAGACATGCATTATAGTGGGCATATCTCTTTAGTAATATTTCTTTAGTTATATCTCTTTAGTTATATCTCTTTAGTTATATCTCTTCAGTAATATCTCTTTAATAATATCTCTTCAGTAGTATCTCTTCAGTAGTATCTCTTTAGTCATATCTCTTTAGTATGCGTTTATATTAAAATAGTGGTAACACCTAATAGTAATAATTGTAACTTAATACAGTTTATAAATAGCTTTATTGTTGTTGTCTTTGTGTTGTAAGTTTGCCTAATCCAAACCCGACATTTGAGACATCATGTTTATTTTGGACTATCGTGTTGAATACAATAATAAATTTCCCTTGCCCAAACCCAACATTTCAGATACCATGTTTATTTTGAACTTGACCTAGTCGTTTATTCTTTTATTGATAAATTTCCAGAACCCAAACCCTTGTCTCATCTTTCTTTTCCACACCAGCTGGCACATTTTTTTTTCTTTTTTTTGCAGGCACTTAAAAAGATTATGAAGTGTAAATTTGCGACTTCTTCGAAAACACTCGAAACTTCGGTTTCGAAAAGATAAAAGTCAAATCTATCAAGTGTCGTTAATTTGAAGATTTTATCAATTAAATTGGCGCCACAGCACATGAATAAAAATGTGCATTTTAACAATGTTTCTATTGCGATGTCTGACAGCCGCAATCCAACAAATTAGAGCGATCTTCCTGTATCGATTTCACGCGACATAATTAAGTTACGAATATGGGAATTCCGAGCCCTATTCCTAAATTAGTGTTTCTATGTGATAGTATATTTGATATTTCATATCATATCTTATTGAACTATAAAGGTGTAGACAGTATTGCCAGATCCCAGTTCAATTTGTAACGGAGTTTTATATTAACAGGAAACGATGTAACAGAGTCGATATATTTTCATGTTTCCATTGGGTGATTTCTCCGGTAACCTCCCCAGGGTTGCCATACCCCAGAGGCAGGCAGAGCATCCCCATACTATCCTCTCGTGGGCCATCTGCCCAGCCTCTCTTCTTAAAAAATAAAATAAAAATAAGCCAAACCCTACATTTCAGATACCAACCATGTTTATTTTGGACTTCACAGTTGAGTTCCTACAGTTCGTCTGGTTCTACCTCGTCACAGTACTCTGGGAGTGCATCTACCTGGTGTTCCGGAACAGACCCAGGAAGGACATTGTTAACTCCCACATTCTTATCACTGGGGCTGGAAGTGGGATGGGCAAGTTGTTAGCTGCTAACTTTGCTAATAGTGGTAATATTCTGCACCTAGTAGATATCAATGCTGAGACCAACGAAGAGAATATAAAGGATCTAGCGGACAATGATTGCACTGTTCACACTTATTACTGTGATGTTTCTAAGCTAGACTCCATCTTGGAGATGCACGAAAACGTGATGAAAAACTGTCCAAAATTGGATTATCTTTTCAACAACGCCGGTATTGTTATTGGGAAGCTATTCCCACATACCTCTTTCAAAGAAATGGACCTAACAATGAACGTGAACATCATGGGAGTAATGCACATCACCAAGGTGTTTCTAGACGACATGATCGATAAAGGGGGCCACCTGATCTTCATCTCTTCAGTAGCCGGTCAGTGCGGAGCCCCCTTCATGACTGATTACTGCGCATCAAAACACGCAGTAACCGGCTTTAGTAGGACCCTTCTCTACGATCTAGAGTACATGGGGATCAAACACGTCAAGATCACCACAATCTTCCCGCATTTCACTGACACTGGTCTTGTAAGAGGGGCTACAGTCAAGCTGCCAGCACTGTTCCCGTTACTGGATCCTGTATGGGTAGTGGATCAGATGGTGACCGCTACCAGGGAGGAGAGAAACGAGGTGATCTTACCACGTGCCACCAACTACGTGATTCTCTACATGTATCTGATGCCTTGCGAGGTGTTCAGACGTTTCTGTAAGTGGTTAGGTAACGATCTGATGAAAACTTTCCGACAAACCAGAGAATACTAGGCTGGAGGGTGGAATGTTAAATGAGGATGATATGAGTAGACATTCTGTTGAGGAATTCTCACAGTTACGGATTGAAGCTGATATTTCACAGTTCTAAATGTGGAAACTGTTCACGATTAGAGATAATGAGTGCATTAATATTGAAATTTTGTAATTTAGTGAATTAGTCAGTAAAACCTCGATTTACCGCAAACCCCGATTTACCGCAAACCCCGATTTACCGTGAAGTGCGAACCCCAATTTACCGTGAACCCAAACTTACCGTGAACCCCGATTTACCGTGAACCCCAATTTACCGCAAACCTCGATTTACCGCAGTTGTTTCCCACAACTTATGATTGGACATGACTATAATCAGTAATAACTAATAAGGATATTTGATTTTTAATTGCGCATGATTGTAACGTTAATTGTTTTATCGTGTTGTATAATATAACAAATCAACGGTTTTGTAGAAATATGATCGAAACTTCTTATAGTTTTCAATACTTTTATGGAATTTTGTTGTGCCACCAAAATTTTAAAAAGGCGGTGTTTAAATATTTATGAAATAAGGATGTTCGGTTCAATTTATTTTATGATAACGAGTATAAATTATTCGTTTCTTTTTTAAACCTATAACCAAAAAATCATTCTTACTTCTAAATTTTCCATGCGGTAAATGAATAATCAACTCCATGATTAGTTGATATTATCGAACACCACCTTGTAAATTTGATAATGATCATGTAACGAAGCTCAGTTCTCAATTTGGTTTAACTAAAAACCCCAGGCTTAAGTGTTTATAAAGTTATAAACACATTCCACACGACCACACGCTTCGATAGAAGATATGTCGTACCGACAACAACAACAACAACAACAACAACAACAGGCCCAGTAAAACGTATTACCAGTAACTAGTTATAATGGCGTTTTAACTTTTGAGAACCGTTAGCAGAGTACGCATTGATGATGGTTTCATAAATAAATACACTTTTCTGGTTCTGAGTGGTTGTTTTCACAAAAATACATAAAATTCTGATTATGAGTGCTCAGTATGATGCAAGGAAACACTGATATAGATCTAAATGGTTCGAGGGAGTTGGCTAGTATAACCATTAGCACTGGAAGGCGATGATATGGCACAAACTGGAGTTCATTGGTGCAGGCCACTCAAATGATTGAGGATACCTAATCACGTACAAGTAAGTAATATCATCAGAACATCGATTAAACAATTAAAACCGCTCAAACCAGTTGTGTAGAATGATCGAGTAACAAGACCCGGTGAAATCTAATCATTTGAAGTGCTGGATCGGATAACGGGCAGATAAATCTGCAGTTTAATTTGTTTCTGTAACCATGTTTGTTGTTCTGTTCAGTTTGTGCTTCACTCAGGTCGAACCCCTTGAGTTCTCTGACCCGCGATTTCAGAGTCTCTTTATGCAACAGTTCGGGTACCAACGGTCTTTTGAGAAAGTCCCCACTGGGATTAATTTACTACCGGAGCGGATAAAAACAGGAAAATATGACAACGTCATATTGGCCTCACCTGATTCAATAAAGAAATTGCAGCAGTACGCGGGGGTAGATCAGACGGGCGAGTTTGATAACGCTACAATTCGAATGATGATGACTGCTCGCTGTCAGAACCCAGACATTTTGGATGAGTCCAGTAGGCTGACGAGGTTTTTCCTCGGCAAGGAGTCGAAGAGGAGTAAAAGAGACGTAGGTCAGTCCGTTAGGAAATGGGCAAAGTTGGATCTCACCTTCGCTTTTGAGAACACGACTCCCCAGAACTCTCAAACTGAAGATGTAATCAGCTCAGCATTCTCAGCTTGGAGCGAGTGTTCTAAACTCTCCTTCGAGCTGGTAGACATATCCGACACCCCTGATATAAAGGTTAAGTTTGCAAGTAGGCTCCATGAGCCCCCAGCAAAGTGTGAGTTTGACGGACCTGAAGGAGTGAAAGCTCATGCCTTCTACCCTCCTGTGGGTTTAGCTCATTTCGACGAGGAAGAGGACTGGTCAGATAACTGTGTTCTTTACTCTGTAGCTCTACACGAGATAGGACATCTCCTGGGTCTGGGTCACTCGTACTACAGGAGCTCCATCATGTTCGCTTACTTTGACACTGAGTTTGTGCAGAGTCAGTGCAAGGGAGGGACTAGACCTCTAGCTAGTCATGATATCAAGGAGGTCAGAGCATTGTACGGAGGCAGAACGTGTGATAAAGCGGAGAATGTTGAGACAGAAGCTCCGACTGTCTCCAAACCACGACCATCAGCTGGAAAGTTAGTGAATGTAACCTCAACAGATACCACCCCAGTAGAAATAATCACAACCTCCACCGTCCAGGTCACCACCAACACCCCCTCTGGGTCCCTCCACGCAACATACGCTACTGACGAACCAAACAGTTGGGAGTTGGAATGTGGCGAGATGGAGGACAATATTCTGAGCAGTCCCTACTACCCGGAGTTGTACCCTAATGGGGTAAACTGCACATGGGTGGTCAGGGCTCCCCGAGGAAAGAGGACAGTCAGCATGCACTTTATAAAGTTCAATGTGGAGGATGGTGGAGAAGAGTGTGTGTATGATTATCTACTGGTTACTCTGGAGGATGGCACCTCACAGACACTATGTGGATCCCTCAGCAGATCTCTAACCTTCGAGTCTAGACGTCTCACTGTAAGATTTGTATCGGACTTGCTAAAGCAGGAGGCTGGGTTCCGGATCCTGTTCACATACGAGGCGGAACCTCCGCAACCTCCTTGTAGGGTAGTGGTAGAGGAATCAGCAGGGTTCATCACTCAGGACCACCCTAAACTAGTGGATCATGAGGAGTGCACCTACCACATACACTCTACTGATCCTGAGAAGCAGGTACTGGTTATTATCCCGGACATTGCACAACACTGCTCTCAGTACCTGCTGTTTGAAGGTGATGGTGAGGAGGACAATCTGCTGGGGCCCTGCTCTGGAGACAACTCTGGACCTAGGTACTTTGTCTCGACTAAAGGCTCTTTCTTCATCAAATATAAACCAGGAGAGTCAGGGAGTTTCACTGTGAAGTACTATACAATATTTTCAGGTTTGTCCTTCTTTTCGAAGTTTACTTTATCTCTATTGATGTCTTATGACTGTAGTCAGTTCACAATTTTCAGTCTGGGCTTTGCATGCTGACCCTGTCATGGCTCTTCAGCTTCGAATTATTAGGTACAAGAGAAACGCCACATTAGGACGTGAGGAGGACCAGGACTCCTCGAACTACATTACATATCCCTTCTATATCGTCCTTAATAAATATGAGATATTTGCAGTGTAGTTTTAAAACTAAATACACTAACTCACCAGACAGTTGGATGAGATGTTCAAGTTCAGAATCGCGTCTTTACAACGAAGAGTTCGTAGAGTCAGGGACGTGGTCCCCTAAACCACAGAACAGTGCCGGAAGTGCCGGAAGTGCCGGAAGTGACGGAAGTAGCTATTATCTGAACACAGACTGCGTGCTTCACATACCACGTGACAGTGAGGGAAGAGAACTGACTGTCCGGTTCAGTGACCTGCACGTGGAGTACGACAAGTTCTGTTCGTATGACTTTGTGGAGGTTTCATTTATTAATACTTTAATAAGATTATATTATAGATATATATGATATCATAGATTATTGATTCTTTAGTGTAGATTAATTTAAGTAATTTCCTTTTTTATATTTATTTAGTGTGAAGGATGTGCCATAATTTAATGATTTTGTTGAATTATAATAAGAATATAATATGATTAATTAAATATAAATTGATGTATTTTAATATTCTATTGACTATTGAAGTATTGATGCACATGCCACCCCATCGACTACTACCACTAGGTGTATACTGCTCAGAGTAACCAGTCACAGAGGTACTGCGGAGAGGAAGGTAGTGTGGAGTTCACAACTCTGGGAGACTCTATAATCTACTTTCACAGTGATCACTCAGTGGCGGGCAGGGTTTTTAGCCTGGAGTTTGGTGTGACTCTCACTCAGTTGTTTAGACTGGTGGACAGTGAAGGTTTCACCTCATTTTTATTTAATTTTGATATATTTATTTTCTTGAAGTTATGTTATCAGGAGTGTTCATCGTGGTTTTTATTTAAAAAACTGATTGTGATGTATAAAATAAATTAGTCCATTAGAGACACCCCCTTACGAAAGGCTTTCTATCAGGTGAAGAGATAGAAGGAGAAGAGAGAGGTCTATTGCTGTACAAGGGGGGTACAGTTTGCGATGACTATTTTAACGAAACTGCAGCTGATGCTGTATGTAAGGAAATAGGATACGTTCGCTCGGAGCGGTGGGAGAGCCCCAACTCGTACAGGAGTCTCCAAGACACTCTGGAGATTAATCTGGACGATGTCCGGTGCAGAAACAGTGCCTGGTCGTCATGCACTTACACAGAAACCCACAACTGTGGGCACCGTGAGGACGTGTATCTTACTTGCAGCAATTCAGGTTTTCTAATATTAAATACTTTTCAAATTTTACAGAGTACAGCAATAAACTATCATAAAAAGATAAAACAAAACCGTTCGAAAATATTGTCCCCAGCTTTAAAATATGATGGGCGCCTAAACACGGTAAAAACATAGTAATTGGTGAACTATGTCCACAATTAATTGGACCCATTACATCAAATATAACTTGAATCCAGATGATCACCATCAGATCCTGAAAGTGATCCTGTAGAAGTTGATATTGACTCCTGTTTCGTGGAGAATACCCGGACTAGTGGTCCGGTGATAGTGGAGGTAGCTTATCAGGGGAGACAGCACTGTGTGGAATTGTGTTTATCACATGAGGGGTTAGTATGATACAAGTAGCGAAGTAGGATACAAGCCTAGCTTTAAAAAGAGATTTACAAATTTAGAGAGTATAGTTTATCAAGGCTGTAAAAGTATAAATGACCAGTATACTAGTATTGTACCTTGTAAACCTTGCAGTTGTCAGGGTATAGCGATCAGCCCGCTTAACTGGGCCAGATCAGGGTGTTACGTTATTGGAGAACACACAATAGCTGAGGGTTATGGCTGGCAAACAGCCAACAGATCCTGTATACAAGGGGAAACAGGTTGGTTTTATACAGATTTCTTACTTTGAGCGTGAGCGGTGAGTGTTTATCTTCCTGAAGAGCTGGGTTTAGACTAATGGGCAAAACTAATTAGTCCATTAGCAATTATAGGTCGATATGACGCTGTTTAGTGTAGCAAGTTGAATTATTTGGCTTGTATTGCATAATTAAATATAATTAAATAGAATTAAACAGAAAGGGGAAGAAATGTAGCTCTAATTTCTGCTAGAAGAGTGGTCACTAATCCCAACTTCCCTCCAGAGTGGTCACTAATCCCAACTTCCCCAGAGTGCTGGAAGAGTGGTCACTAATCCTGACTTCCCCAGAGTGCTGGAAGAGTGGTCACTAATCCCAACTTCCTCCAGAGTGCTGGAAGACTGGTCGCTAATCCCAACTTCCTCCAGAGTGCTGGAAGACTGGTCACTAATCCCAACTTCTTCTAGAGTGCTGGAAGAGTGGTCACTAATCCCAACTTCCCCCAGAGTGCTGGAAGAGTGGTCACTAATCCCAACTTCTTCTAGAGTGCTGGAAGAGTGGTCACTAATCCCAACTTTTCCCAGAGTGCTGAAAGAGTGGTCACTAATCCCAACTTCTTCTAGAGTGCTGGAAGAGTGGTCACTAATCCCAACTTCCCCCAGAGTGCAGGAAGAGTGGTCACTAATCCCAACTTCCTCCAGAGTGCTGAAAGAGTGGTCACTAATCCCAACTTCCCCCAGAGTGCTGGAAGAGTGGTCACTAATCCCAACTTCCCCCAGAGTGCTGGAAGAGTGGTCACTAATCCCAACTTCCCCCAGAGTGCTGAAAGAGTGGTCACTAATCCCAACTTCTTCTAGAGTGCTGGAAGAGTGATCACTAATCCCAACTTCTTCCAGAGTGCTGGAAGAGTGGTCACTAATCCCAACTTCTTCCAGAGTGCTGGAAGAGTGGTCACTAATCCCAACTTCCCCAGAGTGCTGGAAGAGTGGTCACTAATCCCAACTTCCTCCAGAGTGCTGGAAGAGTGGTCACTAATCCCAACTTCTTCTAGAGTGCTGGAAGAGTGATCATTAATCCCAACTTCTTCCAGAGTGCTGGAAGAGTGGTCACTAATCCCAACTTCCCCCAGAGTGCTGGAAGAGTGGTCACTAATCCCAACTTCTTCTAGAGTGCTGGAAGACTGGTCACTAATCCCAACTTCTTCCAGAGTGCTGGAAGAGTGGTCACTAATCCCAACTTCTTCTAGAGTGCTGGAAGAGTGGTCACTAATCCCAACTTCCCCCAGAGTGCTGGAAGAGTGGTCACTAATCCCAACTTCTTCTAGAGTGCTGGAAGACTGGTCACTAATCCCAACTTCTTCCAGAGTGCTGGAAGAGTGGTCACTAATCCCAACTTCTTCCAGAGTGCTGGAAGAGTGGTCACTAATCCCAACTTCCCCAGAGTGCTGGAAGAGTGGTCACTAATCCCAACTTCCCCCAGAGTGGTCACTAATCCCAACTTCCCCAGAGTGCTGGAAAAGTGGTCACTAACCCCAACTTCCTCCAGAGTACTGGGAACAGACAACAGTGACAGCAACAACAACACGGATAAGAGATGATAGTGCTGCAACTGCAGTTTGTCAGGATGGGTACACGGTGAGAGGCCAGCAATTTTATTAAGTTTAATCAATTAATTTTAATTAATTTTACAAATCAAATTCAAAATCGTTTTTATTTTGTGATTAATTGTATAAATAATGTTTTAATTCAAAATTTTCAGTGAAAATTTTGGTGAGCCATCTCGGCCGCCAAACTCATGTTATGGCCCGGCGAAAACGTCACTTTTAAAGATACAAATGAAGGTTAAATTCCCTCAGGCGGTAGACTGTACCTCAGATTACCCGATGTCTTCCATTCTGGACGGTCTGGTGATAAGCTCGGAGTCCTGCACTGTATCTATGTCCAGCAGATCAAGACAAAACGTAGACGTAAGTATTTCAAGGTGTAGAATATATTTAGTTAAATAATTATTCAAGTAAATGACTAAATAAATAATTAATTATCTAATGAACTTTTTCGACATGGACATATCATTTACTGAATTGTAAAATTGATAAGCTAGTTATAATTGTGAGCATGGTAGGTGACAGTGACTTGCAGTAAAAAAGACACATGTTCAAGTGACAGTGATATAACAAAGTTCAAGCATCTGAAACAGGATAGTTGGGTAACTGGTAGGTTTATTAAAATACAGTAAAACCCTAATTTACAATTTAACGCACCCCGATTTACTGCAAACCCCGATTTAACGCGCTCCGATTTACCGGAGCTCCCATGGTTTTACTGCTTAATTCAACGATTTTTAAAATATTGTGTATATATTATATATATTTATATATACTAATAATGTTTCGCTGTTTTGACATTGAGGCGCATCCCTGGAAATGCAACTGTAACTGTAAGACTGTAGTTACTATTTCAATTATGTGTAAAAATATGGCTATTATTTACAGGAAGTAGCTCGTTAACATGTCCTTCTGGGTACGAAATATTGGGGTGTTATATCACATCGTGAGTAACCAGGTAACCAGGTAACCAGGAAATCAGGAAATCAGGTGACCAGGTAACCAGGCAACCAGGTGACCAGGTGACCAAGTAACCAGGTAACATATAACCAGGAAATCAGGTGACCAGGTAACCAGGTAACCAACTTGACAGTATATTAATTAATTGTAATTGTTAAACTATTTATCATGTCTGTTTCAGACATACTCTGGCTCTGAAACAGCTGACCTAAACAAATAATATCGGCGGAAACCATCAGGGACATATGTAAAATATGCAAACACGGCCGGACTTGCAGAAGAAGGAATATTATAAACTGAGAGTGCACTTACTTGTAATGTAATTCCAACATTTGTTCTATTCCTTTTTCAGAGCGTGGTCTCCCTACAGTACCTTTGGAACGTTCGAAACCGGAGCAAAGACGATAACAGGCTCGTGCTCCTTCACAAACACCATCAGATACAAGCTATCTGCTGTGTGTAGAGTCACCCCGTGAGTCACATTATTGATATATGGTGACGTTTATAATGAAGGTTTACTGGGCGGCGCTCAGCCTGTCATTCCGCCGAATCTCTATTCTATATGTTTATGAAATTGAACATTACAGCCTGGGATCCCAGGTAAAATGAAGGTATTAAGCAGAACGTATTACAACTCTGCAAATATATTACATTTACTGAGGCTATACTTTCTTGTGGATGGCCGAAAAAAACCGGAACTAGTCGAGTCACAAGCGGGTCGCCTCGAATATGTCCTGTTCATGTCTACATGATTACCATCATTAATATTATATTACTCATGGTTACAAGTTACAATTTACATGTTGCTCTTAATGGCATAATACCACCATTTACAATTTCAATCATGGTCTCCGGAGAAAATGGTTAAGTGGTTAGAGCAGGAAAACACCAGGAACGATAACATTAGCATTACTGTAATTAATATAATGAGTGTGGGAACTTACCTCCTTTAAAAGTTTAAAGTCCTACCAAACTTAACAACAAGATCTAAATTGCCACTTTGCAGGTCCTACTGGGACGACAACTCCTGTACCGTACCACTCCCACTCCCAGGTAATTCATCACACAAATGGGAATAAAGTTTCAGTGGAAGTGTAATCCTCATTATTAAATCTGTGAAAATATGTCATTTTGTTATTTTGTAACTTTGAGGCCAATTCACTGGAAATAAGTCGAATGTTTTAGTCGAATCTAATACTCTCTCCTTATACTCACTACTCAGTTATACTTTTAAGTCTGTTAAACCTTCTAAGAGCAAATAAACTGTCTTTAATAGCCCTTCTAAGAGCAAATAAACTGTCTTTCAAAGTTTCAACCGTTTTTAGAGCAAACTAAAACTATCTTATCCCCTATCAGAGTGGACACTGAAAGTTATTTGTAACGATAAGATGACCCTGTGGGTTGACGGGGAGCTGAGAACTGTAGCCGGACAAGGAGCGTGGAACAAGGTGTCCACTTTAACCATCCCCCAATCAACACGTGCTATCGGGGTAAAATGTAGGAACAAGGGTGGATTCTACGGGATTATGGGCTCAATCCAGGATGAGGATGGGAACAGTGTTGTTGTTACAGATGACTCTTGGAGGTGTAGGAATAGGGCAGAGCCGGGTTGGGAGAGAGCAGATTTTGTGGAGGGGGACGGCTGGAATCCTGCTTCAGATCATAGACAAGGACACTATATCACCGATAGCGGTTTGTTTCCTGTTTGTCTATATAATTGTAGTGTATTAATATTACTAGCAGGAACCCGTATAACCCTAAAATGGTGTCAAGACTCAAAAGACTAAAATAATTATTACCGATTTAATTCGCGTTTTTGACACCACTTAGGGGTCCAAATTTTGGGCTCTAAAACTCCTTTTCTTTGGTCAATTTTTATTTTTTCATGCTGATTTGAAGGCCATTAAAGCATTTGACCCAGTCAAAAAAGTTTCAGTTGTATATCTTTTACGGTTTTTGCGGAAAGTCGCGTTAAAGTTGATGCCGTGGTGTCAGTAAAATGGCACGGATCCATATAATATCGTTTCGCTTTATATATAGTAAGATAGCTGACTATTTAAGTTCTTGGATACCAAGAACAATAATTAATTTGTTTTACAGGACCCTGGAAAGTGATCGCTGCTAACAGTCAGATTATTTGGACTGAAACTTCTGCAGACACAACTGTTTTTTGCCGCAAGGTCTTACCAAAAGGTGTGATTTAAAACGTACATTTGTAAAATAATTACACTTACAGAATATAAATTAGTTGAGTATATTCAATATTCTATATTATATGATATTGTATAGCCGGTATTTAAAAAAAGTTAGTTGTACTTACCAAAACAACTCCCGACCTAGCTGATCTCTATTTTGTACCCGTATATAATCCTTGTTTGATCCCAAGTGAAACAGCTCCGTACTGCACATCATTGGCGTAAGGTTGCATGTTGGCGCCACCATTTAGATTTGAAATGTTCTTAAAAGAGTATATAAAAATGCTTAACTATATTAACCATATTTTTCATTGTTATTAACAATTCAACTACATTTCCGATAAAAGTTAGTTAAATTTTATGCGGTCATATTTTATGCGGTACACCCTGTATATGTTAATGTATAAGATGCAGTTTTGTGCCGAGTGACGTAGTTCTAATTTGATGAGGAAAAATTGTCCAGAAGTCAAGTTGCTTTTAGTTTTTAAGTTCAAATAACCATTTAATTATCGATACCAAATCTGTTTATCTTTAAAAATGTTATTTCTATGACTTTTGAATTTCATGCACTCGTTGAACCCTACTATACCATTTGCTTTAGACTTAGTGGACGAAGAAGGAAACATAGCAGCTACATCTGGAGTCTGGACTACTCCTATAATACAACTACAAGGGAGGGACAGTGTGTGACGATGGTTTCAACAGTCAACACAAACTCAGCTGAAGCTATATCATAAGTTAATGTATATGCAGGGTTTTTGGTTTTAACTCTGGTGGATCAGATTTCTAAGAATTTTAAAAACTGTTTACCATATTTTGTCAAGCGTCGTTTATGATCGAAGCATAATTTCGGGAGTTGACCGTTCGCCAATTAACTAATAAACTGATTAACAACCTCGGACACCGCTCTTATGATGGTTCCTGAGATCGAATTTGTGCGCGTCCATATTATTTCACATCTTTCGTAATCCGCATTTCTTATCGCAGCTATGGCTTTTTGTTTAATAATTAGCGTACCGTAGGAACAACAAAATAAAACAGGAAATATTACTACAAGCAAATGTATAATGTGGTTGTTATTTCACAACGAACGGAATATGCGAAAAATACGAATTTAACCTTGAGGTAATAAATATCATCGTTTATTAGTTGGACCAAACATTGCCAACAATAATATACATCATTGTCCACAATATTTGTAATTCACTTTCCCGATATCTCAATATATAATAAAGCGTATTTATCTGACATAGAATTTGGAATAAAATAAAAATTCTATGTTATATTGTGCATTTTAAACGTGTTTATCTTTATATCCGAATGATAATAATTCTCAAATTTATCTCTCGATTTCTTGTGCGACTGATTTCACTAATGTCTAAAGTGAAATTATTTCACTAATTGAGTAATAATGATTATGTATCAGTCCTAAAACGCACCTTTCTGTAACTATGTATACAACTTACTAACGCATCAATATACAAATATTTGATGAAAGTTCATAATAAAAAATAAGCAAATGCCTCCGAAATTGTAAACATCTACCGGCATGTTTAATGAGACATTGCTACTAACTACATGAGGGTTTCACGATGATCAAAATCTAAAACTATAACCAACAAATGCCCTGATCATCGTCCTTAGAACCACCTCTTATCATCTCGAACTGTTGCGGAGGAGGAGGTACGAGGGGAGGGGGATCATCATCTCTCACTGCATTACGATAACTAGTCCTACCTCGCCTTGGAGCTGGACCATCTACATCTTCACTGTAAGAAGAAAAAGTGAGGGAGGGAGGGAGGGAGGGAGGGAGGGAGGGAGGGAGGGAGGGAGGGAGGGAGGGAGGGAGGGGGGGAGGGAGGGAGGGAGGGAGGGAGGGAGGGAGGGAGGGAGGGAGGGAGGGAGGGAGGGAGGGAGGGAGGGAGGGAGGGAGGGAGGGAGGGAGGGGGGAGGGAGGGAGGGAGGGAGGGAGGGAGGGAGGGAGGGAGGGAGGGAGGGAGGGGGGAGGGAGGGAGGGAGGGAGGGAGGAGGGAGGGAGGGAGGGGTTTCAGAAATAGTGAATTGGGACGTTAATGTCCGTTTAAGCAATGGTTCCAGGGGACCTATGGTTAAACGCGTTCAAAAACTTGAGAGCACGTCAAACGTTCGCAGGTCAAATATATAAAAGCTGGTTAAAATCCGTGACCCATAGCCAAAACACGCACCTCAGAACAGAACTATCAACGTCCGGTATAGACTCAGGAGAGGATATCTGGAGAGGGCTGGTACTGACTCGAGCAGGAGCCAGAGATTCCGTGTAAGAACTAGCAGGAGGTGTTACCGGTCGTTTTAACTCTAGGTTAGCCTGAGCAGGGAGGATTATACATTAAACATTATACATTATACATTATACATTTTTATAGAGGCTTGTAGAGCTGATATCTTTGGACTTTGATGCAGTTAAAATGTTCTTGCAAAGAACTAGTAGTTTAGTAGTAAGAACTAGAATGAAACCTTCTCGACTTTAGCTCGCCTAACTTGGTGCCTGTGTTGCCTGGCAACCTGGTGTCTTCCGGGGGGTCTGGCGTTGAATGTGGTGGTCTGCTGTTGCGGGCTGTAGGGCGGAGATTGCGGGTTTTCGTGGATATAAGCGGGTTGGATTTGCGGGTTGTCATGGTTATAAGCGGGTTGGATCAGCGGGTTGGAGGGCTGGTCAGGGTAGCTAGGATTGTATCTATCTGATGGAGTGTGGTCAGGACTGTACATTGGTGACTGTTTCAGGTCCTCGTTCTGGGGTGCCTGATAAAGAGATGATAATTTATAATTCTGGAAAAGGAGAGGGTGTTATGGCAATTTTATGCTATATTAGCTATCGATCTTAGAATATTTTTCAGGTCAACTTCTTCATAACTAAATCAAAACACTCTAAAATCTTATTCACATATATTCTATAAACAAAATATTAAAATACATAAAAAGTATCACCTGTCCACCATATCGAGAAGGGAAGGGATTGACAACGTTAACAGGAGCGAACTGGACGGGGGGCGACATGTCAAGAGGAGGTGGCACCCCCCTTCTGGAGGACCGGAGATGAGACACATTGTTCTCGAAAAGGGGCGGAATATCAGGCGAGGATAGTGTGTTTCCCTGGTGACCACGTGCCGTGATATCACGTGACTGGTCGAGTGTGTTTCCCTGGTGACCACGTGCCGTGATATCACGTGACTGGTCGAGTGTGTTTCCCTGGTGACCACGTGCCGTGATATCACGTGACTGGTCGAGTGGTGGCTCGTGATAAGGTAACTGATAAGAAGGATCGGATCTAGGGTAGTCTGGAGCAGGAGGACGGGGTTGGTGACCAGAGCTGGGGTGACGTTGGGGGTAATGTCCGGGAGTGACGGGAGGAAATGAAGGTCGACGAGACATGTCCCTCGGATCGGGACTCCTGACTGTTGGTGACGTGGGTGGTTCTGGTTGAATTAAGTATTACCCAGAAGTTAATTGTATAATAGTATAGATGGGAACAGGAGTGAAAAGATTAATTGGAAGAAACTAAAATCATCTTCCGTTATTTCGGTTTAAGATCTCGACGCAGATACTACGACACACTAAGTTTAAGATATAATATCACCAATCTTACAAAAGCTCTGACGAACTAACCGTGGTTTCTATAAGTGTCTCTTTGAGACCTCTGTGATCTGAGACTCGTTCTGCCAGGAGAAGTGGGCTCTCCATCTACGTCTGATAGCCGAGGAGCTGGAGAAGAGTGGGGTCCTATAGGAGAGTGGGGTCCTCTAGGAGAGTGGGGTCCACCGTCTCTGTGACCACTGTAACAAGATGTGTGTCAACAGTCATCAAATGTAGAGCCTTGGTGTCACTGTCACAATGGTTTCTAAGGACAAATCGTATAACTCAGCTTCATCAAACGATACCCCCGTCCCTATCTCCCCATCTGATCCCCCAAGTACAAACGAAGCCTACAAATATCCCCTCCTCCATAGAATTAACAACCCCCACGTGAGCCTGTCTAGTGTTACCTATCTCTGCGAGGTAAGTTGGCGGATCCTCTCCTAGGTTGCGGAGGTTCAACGTCTCTCCTCTGTGACATGGCAGCCTGGTCCACTAAGTCACGTGGTCTGGATTCTGGGTCACGTGGTCTGGATTCTGAGTCACGTGGTCTGGATTCTGAGTCACGTGGTCTGGATTCTGAGTCACGTGGTCTGGATTCTGAGTCACGTGGTCTGAATTCTGAGTCACGTGGTCTGGAGAAAGATCTCTCGCTGTGCGGGTGTGCAGAACCCGGCCCCGAACTGAAATCACTGATCAGTGTGCATCAGAAAACGGTTTCAGTGAAATATAACATGTTCAAGTAATGACAGTTGCTATTATGCTGGGGAATACATCACAAACTTGCTATCAACGGAACCAGTAAGATTTCCTCACTAATTTTACCTGTAAGCAGTATCTTCACTGATGTTTTTAGACTTGACACTGGACTCAATCCTGTACTTGTCTGATCTGGGGTGAGGCGCTGCCGAGGAGGAGCCGTCTCTAAAGTTAAGCTTACCTGCTGTAAGTGTGGTTACTATGGTTACTATGGTTACTATGGTTACTATGCTTACTATGGTTACTAAGGTTACTATGGTTACTAAGGTTACTATGGTTACTATGGTTACTAAGGTTACTATGGTTACTATGGTTACTAAGGTTACTATGGTTACTATGGTTACTATGGTTACTATGGTTACTATGGTTACTATGGTTACTATGGTTACTAAGGTTAATGCAGTCAACTTAGTACAAACCTCAGGTGGTCAACAGAAACAATGCATAATATCCCGGGTCATATGGTATTATAAAGTTAAAGAGTTATAGCGACAGCAGAACTTGCACAGAAGTAGGAAGGAATTCTGAATTTTATAAACCGCGGGTTTTGTTCTGCAAATCACAGGATTTGTTCTGTAAAATGCGGGATTCATACTGCAGTTCAACAGTAAAACATTAAACAACATGTCAAACAGAGCACCTTTTCGACCAAAAGTAATCATATTAACATACAACTGAATCAGAACTCGATCATCAACAAGAATATATTCATAATTTCTGGTAAGTTGCTTGCAAGTGAATGAATACAAGTATTTTGATTCTTTGTAACATTCCCAGGATTTGCGTAATTCTTTGTAACAAGAGATGTTACATATGGTTACTATGGTTACAAGACATGCTACCTTTGGTGGGTGGGACAAGTACAAATGCTTCTTTCCCGGGGTTTATGATAACATGAGGCCAGACAACTTCTTCTTCTACAAACATGTTACCATGGTAACAGTGCTATATATAGCATCATGTTACCATGGTAACAGTGTTATATATAGCATCATGTTACCATGGTAACAGTGCTATATATAGCATCATGTTACCATGGTAACAGTGTTATATATAGCATCATGTTACCATGGTAACAGTGCTATATATAGCATCATGTTACCATGGTAACCGTGTTATATATAGCATCATGTTACTATGGTAACCGTGTTATATATAGCATCATGTTACCATGGTAACAGTGCTATATATAGCATCGTGTTACTATGGTAACAGTGCTATATATAGCATCATGTTACCATGGTAACAGTGCTATATATAGCATCATGTTACCATGGTAACAGTGCTATATATAGCATCATGTTACCATGGTAACAGTGCTATATATAGCATCATGTCACCATGGTAACAGTGTTATATATAGCATCATGTTACCATGGTAACAGTGTTATATATAGCATCATGTTACCATGGTAACCGTGTTATATATAGCATCATGTTACCATGGTAACCGTGTTATATATAGCATCATGTTACCATGGTAACAGTGCTATATATAGCATCATGTTACCATGGTAACAGTGCTATATATAGCATCATGTTACCATGGTAACAGTGCTATATATAGCATCATGTTACCATGGTAACAGTGCTATATATAGCATCATGTTACCATGGTAACAGTGTTATATATAGCATCATGTTACCATGGTAACAGTGCTATATATAGCATCATGTTACTATGGTAACAGTGCTATATATAGCATCATGTTACCATGGTAACAGTGCTATATATAGCATCATGTTACCATGGTAACAGTGCTATATATAGCATCATGTTACTATGGTAACAGTGCTATATATAGCATCATGTCACCATGGTAACAGTGCTATGTACAATTTGGGTAGATCACAACCAATCATATTGATAATTGGGAATTCTTACGGAGTATAGATGTATAAATATTCAAAATTGGTATAATTCAATTGGGGTCGAAGGGGATCGGTTCAGAAACAGAGATGTTGTGTAACAGTCTCTATAGATTACACTAAATAAAACTTACTAAATAAAATATAATAAAAGAAGCTACAAACCTCCCATTGACTCCTCAGAACCGAGCCCACTTTTACGGGATCTCCGAGACACAGCTATACACAATATAATCACAAACACGAGGAGAGCAGAGCCTGCCATGAGGTTCAGCAGGGAGTTCTCGAAATCTAGGCTCTTATCTTCCTGCCGAGCTACCCCTATATACTCCTGGCAGTTAATACTTGTTATTTTCATTAACTCAATCTAGTTATATTATGTTGCGTGATGAAGTGTGCCGATAAGAGATGGGTTCAGTAATTTTGTAATTAATATAATTAAAAGAGTGCGTAGTCAGCGATATAGCAATATAATATAGTGAGTTGAGACTCAGATAGCTAAGGTTAAATAATAAGTATACATTATACAGCTGCTATTTGTTTGGCGTCCTTATTCGTCAGGCTTATAATAATGTTTATTTCGTCTATTTACCACCGATCAGTGGTAAAAATATTTGCAACTAATCCCAGAAATTATTGAATTTTGATAGTTTTCCAGAACTTTCTTTCTTAGCATTACAAAGTTGCTTAAAGCCATGTGCTGCAAGAAAAATGCTTAAAATGTTGAGTGAACACACCGTGAAAATACAAATTATTAAAGTGGTTGAACTAAATCATAAAATGGCTAATAAAAGATGATTTTTCACCATATTGCTTCAATAACTATGCAGCACCTCGTGAGGCGTGAGGCGAAGGCGAGTATTAAAGGTGACCACTCTAGAGTTTGCAGCTAACCCAAATAAAGCGTGAGGCGACTGCCGACTATACTAGAGTAACTTTGCAGCGAACCCAAATAAAGCGTGAGGCGACTGCCGACTATACTAGAGTTTGCAGCTAACCCAAATAAAGCGTGAGGCGAACGCGAGTATTAAAGCGCAAACTAACGGATAGAGGTTTATTATGTTTCCTTTTTGAAGGAACGCCGCTGCGTTCTCCCGGCAATATACTCTTCTGTGGTTATTTGAAATTAGAATATAAGAACCTATTATGTCGCATATGTTAATGATATATCATATTATATATTTTGTATATATTGTATTATGACAATAACTCACAACTTATATTTTTTTTCCGTGTTTACAATTTACATGTTTATTGTATAAAATTAACATAAGTGGAAGCAAAGTAACTGAATGTTATCTAAACCAGGCCTCAGAGCAAAAGATTTTATGGACTATTTATTAATATTTAGTTATTTATTCAAAATTATAATTCTCAGCAATCAAGAGTATTAGGATGATTTTACTGCCTCAATGTTAGAAGTTGCCTGCTGCGAGTCAAAATTATTTTTTCTCGAGCTAATTCTATTTGGTAATAATTTTTGCACTATTACATTTTGTGATTTCGTAGTCGCACCGCAAGGTTCACCTTTGACTTTTTGAGAATAAAAAGAGATGATTACAAAGCAAAGCACCAAGAATCAAGAACATCTAAGAATAAGGCAAGAGGTAAAGACTAAGGTTTAGCAAAACACATTTAGAATCACAATGATAAGACGAATGTGATATGGATAAGGATGGATAAGGCCCAACTTTTGAATATAATTTAAGAAAGGACTAAAATAACAATTCTATCAATATCTTAAGAAATGAGCGTTAAAAAAGAAACAAACCTTGAGGTTAACAACTCCACTAATAACACAAACTGCTGCTAACAGCAACACTGCTGTTCCCATAGCAACATGGTTTGGAACGTAGTTCAGTCTCGACTTCAGCGACGCACCTGACAAAATCACAATTTTACAAATTCAGTTATGATAACAAATTATCTCAGTCAGCGGCTGATAGATAAAAAGGCACGACTGTAAGAATGTATTGATTTTAAATTTCTTGTTTATTTCTATGAACAAGAATACATTTACTGACCTTTACAACATGACTGTAGCACAATACAACCCCCCATAAACTGTATCACTAGAATTAAGAGCAGAAGAATTCCACACCAACTGTGCAGTGAGTAGAGATGTGTTTTCTGAGAAGTAGTTGTTAAAAAGTTGTTAAAAATGTATTAAAAAGTTTTTTAAAATGTATTAAAAAGTTATTAAAAAGTTATTAAAAAGTTGTTTAAAGGCTATATTAAAAAGTTATTAAAAATCTATATTAAATAGTTATTAAAAGGCTATATTAAAAAGTTATATTAAAAGGTCATTACAAGACTATTACAAATTGTTAAAAGGTTATTAAAACTTTAAAACAACTTTTTTATCTGATACAGCGCATTTATTGTGTCTAATAATATTTTATTCCCGAAAATTTTATACCGGTCCCAACAACCATAAAGAAAGTTGGACAATTACTAGCGTTACCCATGATAGTGTGAGTTGTAGTGTAGCCATGGTAGTATTACCCATGTGACCCCCGAATAAAACTCACGTTATTCTCAGACTTGTAGCTGATAATAAGGATAAGTCCCGCAATACCAAACAGTAAAGACAAAGTGTTGAAGATGGAGTGGGTTATTCTGGCACAGTGCCGGGAACTGGGACACACGCGCACTAGCGCGATACCCTGCGCGAGCAGGTACGTGAACGCGAACATCATCACTATTCCGTGTAGGTACACTCTGCGGGTATTCAAATTATATATGGGAACTCAAAGACAAATCAGGCTCTATTGAATAATGAAAGTAAAATCTAAGATTAATCTAAGTAAAGACTCGCAGCATGTTTATATAATTTATAACTATATAAGTCCACACAGAAAAAGCTAAAATTATATTTGACTGAATTACTTGAATAAATTAACAAATAAATATATTTATTAACTAAATAACAAAAGACTCACAGCATGTTATCTCCAGTGAAGTTGTCAGTATGAAGAGATAACAGCCAGTAGATCATGATAGCAGTGGGAATAGTCACTATCACCTCGAACATAAGGAACATACATACCCTCTTAAACGACATGTCTGGTGGAATGTTTGTTAAAACGTACATTAGTACATTATTACATTAGTACATTAGTACATTAGTACATTAGTACATGAGTACATTATTACATTAGTACATTAGTACATTAGTACATTAGTACATTAGTACATTAGAACATAAGTAAATTAGTACATTAGAACATAAGTACATAAGTAAATTAGTACATAAGTACATTATAACGTTTGTACATTAGTACATTAGAACATTAGTACATTAGTAAACAGTAGTTACTGCGGCACTGCTAGCTAACAGAACGATTTTGTTGGGAAAACAATTAATCAAGGTAAAATCCACTGTGAATAGTCGCGTCTAATTGTTAATACAATTAAATAGTAAACGCTTTAATTCAGTTTAGGGTGCTAATTTAATTCAGATAATGAATATTATCTATACTAATAATCTAAAAATGTGTGTGTTCGTTCGTTCGTGTGTAATTTCCGAACGGCTTAATCAAGAAAACGGTTAAAGTTATCGGACTGGTTTTTTCAGTAAGTAGTTTCGACAAAACCCGACAAAACTATGACGAAGCCAAATGATTAAGGTTTTTTTAAATCGGTCGGTGGTAATTGGTTTAATTGATCATTTTGTGACCCAAAATGTAATACTTAAGGGGACATATACAAAAAGCTTTTATATTCTGAACAGGCTGTAACTTCATATTAAGAAAGTAGACATTAAAACAATAAGATTTGATACATTAAAAATTATTTTTGAGGAACCGCACTTTCGAAAAAATAAATATTTTCTTTTTCGAAAATTTTGATTTTTTTACTGAACATTACTTACACTCCGTACAAGAAGTCCCTCAAAGGATTTTATAATTAAAATATAGATGACGAAGTTACAGACCAAACAAGGTCGAAAGAAGCAAAATTAAAATTTTTGTAAAAATCAAAGTTGTATATTTTACCATTCACCCAGGTCATAAGATATCGCTTTAAAAATTCTTGTGAGTGTAGCTGATGATCATATCCAACTTTTTTGGAACAGGATTTCTCTCAGTTTTGAGTTTTAAGGTATAAAATGTGGCCTAAACGACTTAGTAAAATTCATCGTAAAAAAGGGCCAAACATGGCAGATTTAAGGTTTAAAATGCCTATAACTCAAAAAGTATCAGTTTTTTTGAAATAATTTTTACAGGATCGTAATCAGCTTGGTAAGACGAATCTTTTAGTAGACGAATCTTTTTCGAAAAAGAAAATATTTATTTTTTCGAAAGTGCGGTTCCTCAAAAATAATTTTTAATGTATCAAATCTTATTGTTTTAATGTCTACTTTCTTAATATGAAGTTACAGCCTGTTCAGAACATAAAAGCTTTTTGTATATGTCCCCTTAAGTGTCTTCTTCTCTCCCACTTTCGCTCTCTCTTCCCCCCCATAACGGATTTGCTATATGAATAGGTAATTTGGCAGTGGACCTCAAGATTACCTATCAAGTATTACTATTAGATACGTGAGGGGTACTAAAAATCAAATTGCAGTCTGTTTGGAATGAGCGAGTTCATACTTTCGCACCGTTTAACTGCGAAAATGTAATGCATGTTTTTGTTAATGTAATAGTCGGGTATGTACTATGTACTTTTGTATTTCAACTGCGATAGTGAAGTCCCGGCCGTAGAGACGGGTAACACTAGTAGCTTTATAAGTTTCAAGGATCGGACGAATCAATTCCCAAACTCCAAATAAAATAATGTCAACAGTGAGCCTTATAAGCTTATACTTGCTTACTTATCCGTTATCGTGATGTTTAAATAGTATCGCTTTAGTATCGTTACATCATTTAATATGCACATTACACAGTACACGCAATATAACGCAGAGTAAAGTCAGATCCAGATAGTGAATGGCTCTATTGAAATAGCAGATAGATCTGGGAGCAACTAAAGGGGGAGGGGGCCGGGGGGGGGGGGGGGGGGGGGGGGCCGGGGGGGGGGGGGGGGGGGGCGGGGGGGGGGGGGGGGACAACGTGTAATGTTAGTTGTATTTGTAATATTAAGTTTAATATAAAGTGTAATGTTAAGTGTAATTTAAGATATAACAGAAAAGAAACAATGGGATGAATTGATTTTGCCATCTTTAACGAGATCTGCCCAAGAAAAACAGAAATTATTGGACTACACATTAATGAGTAATGACTCATCCTAAATTATAAGAAGATTCCACTTATTGCTTTTAATAAAATTTTTCAAACCCAAATGAAGAAAGTATGTATTTAATATGCGAACAATTCCACTCAAACACAACGAAGGAAGAAGGATTATGATCGCAACAATTACGTAACAGATTGGGAATTAGTAATGGTAGCTGGGACTTTGAAAATGAGGCGGTGTCATATTAAAGTATTAAGAGTACTCTCACTCAGGGAGGTTATTGTACATTATATACATCTAGTATTATACGCAGTACATTGTACTGATGGACATTTTCAGCTAGTGTACATTGTAAATTGTACATCCAGTATATGTAGTAAATTGTACATTGTTCATCTAGTGTATATAGTACATTGTGCATATAATATATACACTATACAGTGCATTGTGGGAATAACGTAAATCTTATTAGATTTTTAACAATTTCGTATTAATAAATACGTATTAAAGGAAAATGTATCTTAAAACTTTAAAACGGCAAGTTAATTTAAAGTAACTTTATAAATAATACGATAAAAATCATAGGAACATCAACGAATAAAACTTGCTAAAATATCGGCTGTGGCTTGAACAAGTAGACAGCTTAGATTAATCAACAATATTCTGGCAAAGAGCCAGCGATTAAAAGCTTTTAGTTCCATCATTTAGCGGCCAGGTAGCGCAGTTGGTTAGAACGCCTGTCTTACAATCGTTAGGTTGCGAGTTCGAAACCCACTGACTGCCTGGTCGTGGGGTGAGCGTCGTCGACGTTCAGCTAAGGATCATGAGTGGTCTATGCAGCCCCCCGGTCTACTCAGCCGAATACTCGAGAAATCGGGTGTGAGGGTTAAATGAGGAGCTGCACATTGCAGCAAAGTCTCGGACGAAGAAAGTATGGTACACACTACCTTAACCGTCACTGGCCAAAAAGATCCTTCGGCTTCCTGTAATTGGCTGGTTGCACTTGTGTAACATTGTGGCTGTTGGAATACACCGAAGTAAAATAAGTGTCTAGATAAAAATTAAAAAAAAAAAAATCGAACTGAGTCAGCAGGCAGCTATTATAATCGATGTAACGCTAATAGCTACTTAACTGTGAGAACTCAGCTTAAATATACTTATATAGTGCTAAATCCTGGATCCTGAGAGCTGACTATTTAAAGTAGTAAGAAGTCAGCTTATACATTATATAATCTTAAATAGTGTAATACAATAGGTATAATAATAAATGAGAGCCTCTCATTTCGACTGCAATCTTGATTGACCCACTCAAGAGAGCGAAAAATGATACTTGTTAGTTGTTAGTATAAGTACTGAGTACTGCATGCTGAGTACTGAGTGGAGAGAGCTGAGTTATGAGTACTAAGTGCTAATTACTGAGAGCTGAGTTGTAAGTACTTAGTGCTAATTACTGAGTGCTGAGTTATGAGTACTAAGTGCTAATTACTGAGTGCTGAGTTGTAAGTACTTAGTGCTAATTACTGAGTGCTGAGTTATGAGTACTTAGTGCTAATTACTGAGTGCTGAGTTGTGAGTACTTAGTGCTAATTACTGAGTGCTGAGTTGTGAGTACTTAGTGCTGAGTACTGAGTGCTGAGTTGTGAGTACTTAGTGCTAATTACTGAGTGCTGAGTTGTGAGTACTTAGTGCTGAGTACTTAGTGCTGAGTTGTGAGTACTTAGTGCTAATTAATGAGTGCTGAGTTGTGAGTACTTAGTGCTAATTACTGAGTGCTGAGTTGTAAGTACTTAGTGCTAATTACTGAGTGCTGAGTTGTGAGTGGTGAGTGGTGAGTGGTGAGTACTCGTAATATAGTATTAGCAACGGTTGTATTTACCCAGACAGATGACAAGTGATACTAATAAGCCTCTATAAGTGTGTAATGGAGACAAGCAGCGACAGAGAAACCAAATTATAACGAAATTAGAAATATAAGGTGTGAGCAATAAAGAGGTGAAGCAATAAACAGGTAACAGGAGGTGACCCCACTACCATATATAATGCTAAGTATAAACTCTCACAAGGAGATCAGACACATTAAAATCTGGACCTACCTGCTCTCTCTCTCTTTCGTCACTTTACACAGTGTACAAGGTAAGATTACCTTATATGGTAGTAATATTGTGGTGGTACTGCCTTATATGGTCATGTTACATCATATACATGTAAATGATCAAGATCTTTTATCAAGCAAGCTTTGTACATAATAGGACTGTAAATTAACATGTAAAGGTGACGTAATTCACGTAACGGTAGTGGAATAAAAGAATAGAGGGCATAATTAATTAGTGGTAATAATTAATTATGGCCAAAAGGCAGTTATTCTCACTCTGAAGAAATTTAGCAGTCATCGCAACCAAACGCTCTACGACAATTCGTTTGCAGTTATTGGACCTCGATTGTGGAACTTAACATGCATACTATCGAATATCCCCTGCACTTTAAAGAAATGCTTACAACGTTTGTGAAATCATTCCCGGATGAGCCTCTAGTGGCAGGATACAGCTGTCCAAATGGAAACTCGTTACTCGACTGGAGTGGAATAAAGGCAGCGACCTCGCTGTCCGGATGGTCAGCAACTCTGATGACCCGATAGAGGATTCTATGAAGCACACCTAAGTTACCAAAGTAAGTACTCTTATAAGTGGCCTGTAAACTTTGAAAACTTTCAGACCTTAGGTTCATTCGAGTGGGGTGTGGCAGCCTCATGACGGTTTACTACAAATTGTCTGATATCTCAGGAGAGTTAGAATTAACCCAAATATCAGGGACACGAATGACAATATCTCTATCATTATTTATTATATCGGCTTGTACTTCGTCACAAAGTGAAGATACAAGGTTA